GATGGCACAGCCTTCAGGTTGTCCCACGGTTATTGATCACTGCCTTTAGCTTTGCTTCCAGTGAAAATTTTGAGCTGACAGTGGAGCGAAAAAATGTGGAAACGAACAGTTTTCACGTGCACAGGAGTACGAACCAGAGTAAAGTTGCGGAAAGGGCAGGTAAGGTTTTTGCAGACAAAGTAGCTACAATGATAAAAGCAGGTGCATAGTTAAGGACAAACTATGCAGCTTGCTTTGGGACAATAGGAATGGTGTGTTACAAGCAAGACCCAATTCACTGAAGGCTTCAGGATGTGAAACTGAAAACCTGTTTGAAAGCAGCCTCCTGAAAGGAGAGGGTCTGCATAGGACAGCAGCCCGACAGGTGTTTCTTGCTTGAAAATGCCTGCCTAGGGAAGAATTTCCCTGATTAAGTCACATAGGCACTCAGCTGCTGCAGTGGTTGTCCAAGAACGTCAGGCTACATTCCAAGCTGTCAGAAAAAACTTGGTGTTATTTTTCACGTAGTACTGGTTTGGCCGGCAACAGAACTCAAGACTCACGGGCCAGTGGAGGTTTGCTCTACGGTTCCACAAAGCTGCTGAGGTCAGGTAATATGGAGCAGTGTTAATTCTCTGCACGGGACCCTGGAGTGGGCTGTGCGGAAAGCTGAAGCCCCCGTTTCAGTGGTGATCTCGGGGTGCTTGAGATAGCATGCTTTGGACTTCTGCAGGCACTGAGAAGAGCCAGGCCAAGAGAACACACATCTGCCACAGGTCATAGGGCTGAAGGGGCAGAACTGTCCAAACCTGTTGGAGCCCAGAAGACGCTGTCATGAGCCCCAGATGCTGGTCATGGAGTTGTTGCAAGATCTGGTGTCTGTGTGTTTAATTCTGGTCTTTCTTCAGTCTGCTGTTCTTTTGATGTTTTCCATTTCTTCATTTTGGAAGGGGTATGTTTATATCATTGTACACTGGAAGTGTGTAACTTGCTTTTTTATTTTTCCGGGGGCTCTTAGCTAAGGGTGTGTTTTGAGCTTCAGAAGAGACTTTGGACTTCTGAACAGTGTTGGAACTCTTAAGAGTGAAAGGACTTTAAAATTTTTATCTACTTTTCATTTTTGTTTGTGTGCGGTGTATACATATGTACCTGTTATTTGGAGGCCAGAGGCCAAGACTGAACGTTTTCCTGTATCACTGTCTAACTTACTGTCTGAGGCAGGATCTCTCACTGAACTTAGAGCTCATCAATGGGCTAGACTAGCTGTCCAGCAAGCCCCAAAGGACCCCCAGCACTGGGGTTTCATGTACGTGCCGCCATGCCCAGGTATTTACATGAGTGCTGGCAATCCAAACTCAGGTTTTCATGTTTGAGAAGCAATCACTTTATGGACTGAGACATCCCCCCAGCAACTCTGGTGACCTTTCAAATTGTCCTGAATGTGCGAATGCATCCTGCATTATGGGATGACCATGGAACCATGCAGCTAGGTCAGAACATTATATATGGCTTGGATGGGGTCTGTCCTGCTCCACAGTCTGATGTGTTTATAAACTTGATCCACAGCAGATACTGCTATTTCAGGGAAGTAAGAAACCTTCAGAGGCTGGGACCTCGATGTAGGAAGTGTCAGTGGGAGGAAGACCTTAAGGAGTTACAGCCCTGCCCAGCTTCTGGCCGACCTCCTTGCTTTCTGGTTGAAAACATGATGTAACCAGTGCCCAATAGTCTTTCTACCCCCAAACGGAGATGCTCCTACCTCCGTGCTTTCCTCATCAAGATAGTATCATCTTGAACAATGAGTACAAAATAAATTCTTCTCTTAAGTTTCTTCTTTTAGGTATTTTCATCATAGTGATGGGAAGAGTAACTAGTGTGGGCCAATAAGATCTTTGTGTTTTATGTGGGGGTGTTTTGCCTGTATGTATGTCTCTGCATTCTGTGCATGCAGTTCTTTTCAAGGAGGCTGGAAGGGGCATTGGATCCCTGGAAAATTACAGCTGCCACGTGGGTTCTAGAATCTCAAACCCAGGTCCTCTGGAAGAGAACCTGTGCTGAACCATCTTTCCAGCCCCAAGATGGATCTATCTATCTATCTATCTATCTATCTATCTATCTATCTATCTATCTATCTTCATTCATGGAGAGTTGTGTAGCTACTTCCTCAGAATTTAAATATCTCTTAGGCAATAAACAAAACTTTCATGTCTCAGGAAGACCCTAAAACAAGGCTCACAAGGTGCTTTCCTGAAGGTGCAGAAGCAGAAAAGGCTTTTGGAGGAAGGCAGACTCGTTGATTGGCTGAGCTGCCCGCAAGCAGGGCGAGGTGTGCCTACGAAGCACTTTCACAGGTTGTTTCTGTTTTAGGGTGTGCTTTTTGGCGATACCGCTGCCTTTGACTTATCCATGCTCCCGTGGGCAAATACTTCCCTGTAGACATTTGCTCATGTCACCCCAGGACAGGTCACACGTGTAAACTATCCCACCTCACCATGGACAGAAGCTGCCCAACAACAGGCAGTGGGCTGGGGGCCCCTAGCAGAGGAAGGGAACTCAGAAGGGCGCCCCTCTCGAGGCTAGGGACAGCATCGTGGTGAAGGGAGGACGGAGGGAACAGTCCTTTCAGAGTGGTGGAGGGGGGTGTGGAGTGAATCGTTTTCTCTGAGGAAATCCCCTGAGGAGGGGGATATGAAACTGCTCCCTCTTCATGGCAAGAACGGGGTTCCTGGTGGCATGGGGGACAGCTAATTCCATAGAATGGTAACGAGTCCGTTTTCAGAAGATTCGAGGGTGGGGTGGAGGACTGAGTATATCTGAGGAGGGGATATTGCAGGAAGAGGAGAAGATATTGGCTCTGAGTGATAGCACCTAGTCTCCTCCCACCATCCATCAAACACTTGTTTTGTGCCAGGTTCTTGGAGATGGGGCCTTCAGGAAGCTACTTCTATCGGGAGACATATATAAAGTCAGAATTAATAAGGAATGCTGTTACAGAGCCATGGCTGACGGCTTCAGAAGCACATCGGAGCACCTAGCTGCACAAATGAGCGTGTCTGCTCAAACACGCGGGAGACCTGGGGGATAGATTCAGGGACAGTACCCAAGGGAACGACCTTTGAGCTGAGCCAGAGGGTGATGAAGAGGCTGGTGGCGGGGCTGGAGAGATGGCTCAGCGGTTAAGCGCACTGGCTGCTCTTCCAGAGGACCCAGGGTCCATGGCTCGCAGTTTGCAACTCCAGTCCCTGAGGATCTGACGGCATTTTCTGGTTTTCTCGGGTACTGTATGAATATAGTGCACAGACATACATTCGGACAAAACACACGTACACTCATACACACGTACACTCATACGCATAACATAAAATAACAAATAAAATCTCCAAAAATAAGTTAAAAGAAATAAAAGAGACTGGTGGGTGGCTCCAGTGAGGAAGGGCTTTCCATGGGAGTGTATGGCATGGGCAAAGGTTTTGGGGCAGGAAAGAGTATGATCTATACCTCAGCAAAGGCAGTGTGCCTAGAAGAGTAGGCTATGCCTATTCTCCTAACTCACCAAGTCCTCTAATGTGGAGAGATCTGAGGTTTTTGAATAGTTACCCTGGTGGCAGAGCTGAAAGAGGGTTTAGAGGGAGGCCCAAGAGCGGGGGCAGGGGGGTCTGGGTGTGTCTGCAGCAGGGCCAAATGATCTGGAAGGAACCAGCCATGCTTAGAAACAATAAGCAGACTGACCACACATCTGCTTAGCAGATGAGGGAGCAGGAGGCTGGGTGGAAGCCAAGTGTCTGGTTTGGGCCATTGGGTAGCGTTCTTTGTGGCACGGGGGAAGCCTGCTTCTTCCATCTATCTGTCTCCAGTCTCCATCTTTGCTCCCTGGGGACTTTGCTCAGCTTGAATTTCTGGGTCCTCGTGGTAGGATGTTTCCTGTGGTCACTCTCAGGATCTGTAGCTCTCCCGGGCTCTGTTTTCCAAGCCTGTCTTATTGCTGGGACTCAAAGAGGAGAAGTTTTTATTTGTTAGTGTAATCAGAGGCGTGCTTTCAGACACCCAGAAAAGGGTGGGACCCCTGACTCTCTGGCTTCTACCCTCAATGACCTGTTGTCACTCAGCAGCCACAAACACATTGGTAGGCACCTGGCACAAGTGAGAGCCTGTGCTTATGCAGAATAGGACCTCATCTCTCCTGGAAGGTGGGGGAGCTGACAAAGGCCTCTTTTTAATCTGTTTCAAGTCCAGGCCACAGTACATTTGAAGGCAACAGAAAAAGGTGCCAGAAACAGAGATGCTGAGGAGACAGGCTCCTGGTCCCCAGTGTGTCTGAGACTTGAGCCTAATTTGCTAGGCAGACGGAGGCGGGTCTCAGCAGTAGCTATCCTTCAGGCTTTCTGGGATGGCTGGCAGCTGGAGAACACGGATTAACACCGCTAACCCCCCCCCCCCATTTTTAAATCTTCTCCCTTAGCTGGGTGGGAGCGTTTCCTTGAGCCCCGATTTTCTCTTCTATCAAGCAGGCTGAGACTGTCCACCTTCCTTGGGCTGTCTAGTGAACTAGGCAGGATGATCTACGAGAAGCCCTTGGCACAGGAATGCACACATTTCTCAGAAACAGCTCAAGAGTATAAGGCATGGAGCCGGCGTGGTGGCACAAGCCTTTAATCCCAGCACTCGGGAAGGCAGAGGCAGGCAGACCTCTGTGAGTTCGAGGCTAGCCTGGGCTACAAAGGGAGTCCAGGACAGCCAGGGCCACACAGAGAAGCCCTGTCTAGAAACAAAACCAAAACCAAAACCAAAACCAAACCAAACCAAAAAAGAATGTTAAGCGGTGAGTTCCCTTACACTGACCATGCTGCCAGCAGAAGAGTCATGGATGACTTAATGCCACTTGATAAGAAAAAGAACTTGGAAGCTTAGCTTAGGGCACAGGGGGTACTGAAAGTGATCCTCGTGGCCAAAGGTTTGGGCTGCGAGGTGTGGTGCCTCCCTCCCAGCATTGCAGAGTGAGTCAGAGACAGCACCCAGGCTTTCCTCTGGGGTGCTGACGGTGAGACCGTTTCTCTTTCCGCTGAACTACCTCAGAAAACCGGTGAGTGAGGCGACCTGGGCAGTGGTCAGACTCGCTTATGACACCCAGCTCCTGCGGCCCCCAGCCAAGCCTAGGCATTTGGAACAGGTCCCGGTGCCTGGCTTCCCGTTCAGTTCATCCGGGCGTCTCAGCAGGGACTGTCCAGGAAACCCCTTCTGTGCGAAGCAGGTGTGGGTGTGGGAAGGCTCCTTGGACATGACTCACACTGCCTCCTCCTCGGTGAATCACGGTTAGGGCTTGGGAACAACGAGCTGGTGGACTGGAGGCAGAGCAGACAACTGCAGACAATGACACAACTCAACCACCAGGGGGCAGAAGGCGGCCAGGCCAAACCGAGCCAGCCACTGCTGTAGAACTTCTGGCACTCATAGGCGGGGTTGGGGGTGAGGGGGGTGAGGGTGGTGGTGTGGTGGTGGTGAGTGGATGGAATGTAAGGACCCAGCTGGGCAGTCAACGCCCCCACCGGCTGCCTCGGTCCGGGTTCCCGGGTTCTCTGCTGGAGAACGTCAGAACAGAGTGTTAGAGGGCGAGGTGGGGTGGGGCTCATCCACCCAGCGTTCTCCGTCCAGACTGTACAAAAGCAGATGCCTAAGGTCACACAGAAAGTGGGTGGCGAGTCAGCCCGCTTCTCCAAGCCTCAGGAGATCTGGCCTCTGTCCGAGAGGAGACCCCGGTGTCCGGGTGCTGCTGACTCTGGGCAGCCTTCCATCTCATCCTGTTGCTCTCTCCCTGGTCCCTCTGTCCAGCGTGTCCTCTCTTTGAGCCATTCCCCCCAATCCCTTCTTTTTGCCTCACTCTTCACCTTGTCTGCCTCTCTGTCCTTCTCTGTCAGCCTCTAGTCTCTACCCCTGCCCTCTGGGGACTTTGCTCCTTTTCTGGGTTCCCGTGGCAGGTTGCTTCCTGTGGCCACTCCTCAGGGCTTTGTAGCTCTCGGGAGCTCTGTTTTCCGAGCCTGTCTCATTGCCCGTCCTGGGACTCAGAGAAGTTATTATTTAGTCGTGTAATCAGTGGTGTGCTTTCAGGCAGTGAGAAAGGGGACCCCTTGGCCCCTACCTGCCCCCTGGCCTCAGTGACCCCTGTTGCCAGTCAGCAGTCATAAACGCTGGTAGGCACCTGGCGTGGGCGAGAGAACTGTGCTCACGCAGAAATGAGTAAGACTGTTCACCGGTGAGCTCACCGTGAGGGCGAGAACACGGGAATCTGCCCGCACAGGGACTCACTAAGGAGAGAAGGGAGGGCACCTGCCCTGTCTGTGCCAGAACAGAGAGAAACCGACTCTAGCTGGCTTCCAGAGGGCTTTTGGGGTCTCAGCACAGGAAGGTGGCACATTCTGACTGGGGCGATCAGCGAAGCCGAGGGCCTTGCTTGCATCATGGCTGTGTGTGCCCTTGTTCACACAGCGAGGACCGGCAGCGAGGCTGGAAAGCAGTGGGTGTCAGTGTTGAGGACTTCACTGGGCGCTCCACAGGAGACACAGTGCGGCTTCTGAGCGAGAGGAGCCCTGAGCGGCAAGGCTCTGCTCCCGAGGGCCCCTCCTCAGGGTGGAGAGGATGTGACCGGAGAAGCACGGTGGGGAGGAGGGGGACAGAGTGGCTTTGAAAAGGCCTAGAAGAGGACCCCGGAGGACCCAAGCCCCGCTTGGTGCTGTGCAGGCTGCTTGCCGCAGGGACCGCTAGAGCGGGGCCTGCTCCTACCAGCTCTCCTCACCCTCATCTCCCAGGTGCTGCCTGGTGCGGGGCTCGGTGCTGGTGCTTGGGTTGGAGTTTCCGGCTGCTGCTCTGGCCCTGGGGAGCGGGGTGTGCCGCTGAGTCACCTCCTGGGTATTTGGGCCTGGAACCGTGGTGAGTCACCCTGAACCGGGGTGGCTGAGAAGCAGCTTGCAGTCTGTAGGGGGTAGAGAGCTGGGCCCACAGGAAGGGTGGTGCCCAACTGGGGATGGGGTAAAGAGCAAAAGGGGCAGCATGGAGTCTGAAGTCTTCCCTGAAGACCCCTCCCTTGGGCCCAGTTGAAGGACACAGTGTTTGTGTTTCTCTGTCGACAGCACACCCTGGGGACTGGTGAAGGCCTGAGGGAGGGCCATGGCTGGGTCCAGGCCCCTGTTTTCAGCTCCTTGTAAAATGAAGAGGCCGTTCTTGTCTCCCTTTTTTCCTCTTACATTCTACCCAGTGCTGCTCACTGCAACTGTGTCTGGGGCAGAGCGAGCTCCATTGCTCCTTTTCAAGTAGTTTCACCACACCCACTCACACTCCTACCTCTTTAAGAGGTATTCTTGTGCCAGGCACTTAAAACAAAACAGTTCTGTCTCTTACACACACACACACACACACACACACACACAGACACACACACACACACACACACACACACACACACACACAAAGCTCAGGCTGTGAAAGTCCCACCCACACTGTGTCCCTGCATTCTCTGACACAGGAGGGAGCTGTGACTCACAGTTACAGCATGAGAAGCAGGCTTGGACTAAGTCTCCAAGCCGCAGAAGAAGAGCTGTCCCCCTTGTCCCTCACCAGGCACCCCTCACCCCCGACACCTGTGTCTCCTTGCTGAGGCCTGGATGAGCTTGGGGTGCCCTTGGCTGGGCCTGGAGGCTCCTCCGGCTGGTACCCAGGCCAGTGCTGACTGGGAGGGAGTGCGTGGGGTGGCAGGAGGCCAGATTTTATCAAAGTCAAGTTAGAACAGGTTCTGTTTCCCAAAAATGACAAGTTGGAGGCCAGTAGGGCTGGCATATAAATTCCTACCCTGGGTGTCTTGGCCTCTTTACTTCCTCCTGGGTTGCTCTGATACCTAATCTGGTGAGTACCTCTGTCCTGAAGAGGTTGTTTTTTTTTTGTTTTTTTTTTTTTTTTTTTTTACCTTTGTCCCTGCTATCTTGATCCTTGATCTTGTAGTGTTCTCTGACTGCCTGGTGAGGTCTCCCATTTGAAGGGTCCCTCTCTGTGAAGGGCCTTTCCTAGATTTCCCTGCGAGTACTTAAGGGTTTACTCTGTGGCTTGTTCTCAGGTCTCTGGGGCTGAGATCTCTGTGTCTCTCACTTTATATATGTCCATTAAGGAGCCCTTTGGGGGGGGTTAGGCCTAGGAATAGGCCATGGATATTCGAGGAGTACTTTTAGAAGAATCCCTAGTTTGAACTACATGCAACAGGCTGTGTCTGTAATCTCATACTCAGGAGACTGAGGCAGGAAAGCCAGGAGGTCCAGGTCTGACAGGGCGGTGCAGTGAGATGTTGTCATTGTTCTTGCTTTTGCAAGGTCTTTTGCGATTCTTTCAGGACTTAGAAGCCAGAGACAGGACCTCAGTGCTTAGCCCTGCTGTGGTCCCTGGTCCTTAGAGTGGCAGAGCCCTGCCCAAGGCTACTTCTTGTGCTTTTCTAAGTAGATGGGGGTGGGGCTGGCAGGGCAGGGCTGGCAGGCAGGCCTGAGGCTTTTCCTGCCCCCAGCACTGGCTCCTCAGGCTTTACCCTGGAACCCACCCAATATTCTTAGAGGAATTTGGAAAAGGTGACCTCTGAACTCTGACCTCATCTCTTCAGCTTCTAGCCTGATCCCAAGAAACAGGCCACTTAATTTCTTTGGCTCTAACCCCAACAGAACCCTTCCTGTTGGGGAGGGCGTTCAGTTGCCTACATCCTGCTCATGCCCTATCTACAGAGAACTAGCGCCCTCAAAGCCATCAGCCTGGCGGGAGAGATGCCTGGCATCCTTTGAGAGTCCCTGGTGTGAAGGAGGAAGCATTCCTGCCTGAGAGGGCTTCCCGTTAGGTGGCACACACTCTGACTTCTTAGACTAGAGTTGGTGAAAGGTTTGGCCCCTTTATGGGGCCTCATACTCCTAGGCTGTTCCCATGACTAACTGCCAGGCGATTCTCGGAGCCCACGGACACATGTGTGCTCTGCATTCCTGGCACAGAAGGGAGTCAAACTGAGACTCTAGACACCCTGCAACCCCCCCCCCCCCCCCCCCCCCCTTTCCTCCCATAGACACTCAAGCAGAGAGGCACTACCCTCAGACATGCGTCCTTAGGACACAAGGTTCTGCTCTAGGTGACTCCCAGACCACAGGAGAGGTTTGACATTGACTGTGGTGTAAAGTGGCAGGATGGATCCTCATGCTCAGGGGCCACACTTCCGGGGCAGAACGGCAGGCCTTGGCTTGCCGTTCCCAGAGGGGCCTGGTGGAGCAGAAAGAGGCCTTGTAGACCAGACTTGAGGTCTCAGGTACCTTGGTGGTGTTCTTTGGAATCTCTAGATCCAAGATGTCTAGTCCCCTGGAACAGGCTCTCGCTGTGATGGTCACCACCTTCCACAAGTACTCCGGTCAAGAGGGTGACAAGTTCAAACTCAGCAAGGGGGAGATGAAGGAACTTTTGCATAAGGAGCTGCCAAGCTTTGTAGGGGTAAGTGGGGCAGGCCAGGCGGGGAGCATGGAGCCTGCTTTTATTCTCAAGGTGCCTGCCAGTGCCAGTACCAGGGTGGGGCTGAGGATTTCCTCATCAGTTTTCGCTTCACTGTCCCTGGGGTGCCGGTTAGATCTATGTGTGAATGGGCTTTTAATGGCGGTTCCCTTCAGCATTCGTGAGCACATTGCTGTTGGGGGCTCCAGGGTCCCTCTGTTAATCCTGTTATTGGCTAGTTGAACAGTCTCCACCTCAGAGAAGGGTAGCAGCTGGCCATGGGTCACCCAAGGATATTGTTAAGGGGCATTAATATTGCCTTTCATTTTACACATTTGTATGCCAAGTCAAGAAAGTATGCAGAGAGAACGGATTCCAGCCAAGGCATATACCCTGGGGCATTTGGCAGAGAGGGGCTGTTAGCTCTCAGTTTGCCCCCTGCCCTGTACAGACTAACAGGTAATCCTAGAGTTAGATGTCAGGACTTAATATAAAAGGCAGGTCTTGCCTTTTTAAATTTTTTTTCTTCCTTTTGGTTAATTCCTTCTCATTGTTTGGGCTGGTATTTAAAAGTTGGCCCTTTCTGGCCGATATGGTGGTAGGCGCCTTTAATCCCAGCACTCTGGGAGGCAGAGGCGGGTGGATCTCTGTGAGTTCGAGGCCAGCCTGGTCTGTAAATAGAGTCCAGGACAGCCAGGGCTACACAGAGAAACCCTGTCTCTAAAAACAAACAAGCAAGCAAACAAGTTTGCCTTTTCTGAATGCATTCTGCTGATGTAGGGTATAAAGCTTTGAGTTTTTTTCATCATCAAGATGAAGCTGTGCTCTAGCAGAGATTGGAGTTTATACAAACTCTGAGGAACACCTAGCTAGCATCCCGCACTCCAGCAGGCATGCTGGAGACTCTTACATCATAAGTTTGTCTGTCCTTCCTCAAGGGGCCTTCTTGGCATCTTACCAGGGTTTCCTATCCATGCTGAACCCTGTGGGGAGGGAAAGCTGGATGCTGATGTAAGGGAAAGGTTTTGGAGGTAGGTTGGGCAGGGGCCGGCTTGGTGATAACTCCAGTCCCTGTCACCTTCAGGACAAGGTAGATGAGGAGGGTCTGAAGAAGCTGATGGGTAACCTGGACGAGAACAGTGACCAGGAGGTGGACTTCCAGGAGTACGCTGTGTTTCTGGCCCTCGTCACCATCATGTGCAATGACTTCTTCCAGGGGTACCCAGACCGGCCCTGACACCAAGCGCACCGCTCCCTCCCATGAAGCTCTTGGGCCAATACAAGCTCCCTATCTTTTCAAATTTTGTACTAAATAAACTTTTCGTTTGCTTGTGGACAATAGTGTAACTGCTCAGTGATGCTTTTACCTTGACTGGATCAGTTAAAGGGCTGGAAACAGAAGGTTCCCTGGTTCCCAATACCTTCTGCAGCCTGACTCTCCTGAGGCCGAAGGCTCTACCCTTCGGGATTTCACACAAAGGAAAATTTGGGATTGAGGTAGCCTGGTAACATTTTATTTTCTTAGGAAAGGTATTTTAAAACAAAAGGTTGGGAGCCAGGTGCAGCAGCGTACTCCTGTAATCCCAGCATTTGGGTGGCAGAGGCAAGCGGGTCTCTGTGAGTTTGAGGTGAGCCTGGTCTACAGAGTAAATTCCAGGACAGCCAGGGCTGTCTCCAAAAAACAAAAAACCAAACCAAACCAAAACAAAACCAAAAAACAAGCAAAATTGGGGCATGGTTGTGCAACCTTTAATCCAGCACTCAGGAGGCAGGGGCAGGGATGGGGGTGAGGAGATGGAGGCCTGGGCCTGGGCTAGAAAGGGGGTGAGGGGGAGGGCAGGGGGAGGGGTGGGGCTAGAAGCAGCAGATCTCTAGGAGTTTGAGGGAGGTCAGCCTGGTCTACATAGTAAGTCTCTCTCTTTCTCTCTCTCCCCCCCTCTCTAAAACATCCCCAAAACCAAAAGCCAACCCGCCACCAACAAAAACCAACCAAACACACACAAAAAGACAAACAAGACAAACACAGCCTACAATTACAATAATTTCATCCCCACCCCCAACTTTAAATCCACAGAGAAGGGAGGGTACAATCTCAGACCTCAACACTCAAGACTGACAGGTGAGTGGTCCCGAGAGCTGCCCAGGAGGCCAGGGCTGGGCCTAACCTGCCCTGCAGCTTTACCAGAATTCCTTGTTAGATCATAGACCCTAGGTAGTGTACTTGCTTTTAGGAAAACCTCTTTTTCTGTCTGCTTTCAAGTTTGCTAGCTCAGTTTTGAGTTCACTCCCTCCCTATTGATCTCTGTTAAAACTTCTTAGAAGCCAGGTCAAGCCAAAGATCCTTGTTTTCTACCATTTTCCCTAAAACTGAAACTTAAATCGTCATCTATTCTGCATCCTAAGGCACATCAGGTGACAGTTTGAACACCTGGCTTGCTAGGCCATGACAAGGGTCACCAGCTTTCCATCATATAAACTCTAGGCCCTATATTTCACTCTTTCTTACCTCCATTCTATTTAATCTTTTAAGTTATTATTCTTGATGGATTTTAAAAAACATTTATCTATTTATACATATGAACACTATTTGCATTTAAACCTACATGGCAGAAGAGGGAATCAGATCCCGTTTTATAGATGGTTGTGAGCCACTATGTGGTTGCTGGGGATTGAACTCAGGACCTCTGGGAAAGCAGACAGTGCTCTGAACAGCTGAGCCATTTAAATGTCCGTGTGGTTAGATGTTTTGGTGGGCAGTTCAAACCTGTTGCTGTATAATCAATCAATCACTCCAAGATACGGTGGCTGAAACATACATTTATATCTCTCATGGTAAATTGGAAATAGTTATAGGGTCTCACTTGGCGTGTCTCAGGCAGTAGTAGATGGCTAGTAAAGAATCTGACGCTCTTTGCTAGTGGGTGCACTCGAGTATATGCTGTGGTGTTCTTGCGGAGATCAGACGGCAACTCCTTTAACGTGGCTTCTCCTGATTCTGAGCCAACCTCGATGATGTGTGTGACCGATGAAATGCAGCAGAAATGATGCCCCGGGAGTTCTGAAATACATCTTAAGAGCCTTTCGGCTTTTAACCTAGCTTCTTGTGGTGGTCACTGTAAGCTATGTGAGGAGTGCTCTGAGAAGCCCCAGCTTTGTGGGAAGACCAGAAGTGCGAGCTTTCTCCACGCCCCCCCCCCCAAGCTCTGATGAGTGTGTGGCCACCTGCAGAGCAGATCACACAGAGCTCTGTGGAGGAGCAAGGAGCCAGGTGAGAGGCCATGTGACAGCCAGTTGCTCAGTGCTCTGTCCTCACCGCATGTGTAGGGCTGGCAGGCCAGGCAGGCCCTCTGGGACAAATGGTCTGTTTTCATGGTAATGAGAAGAGAGGTGTCTTCTTGACACCCTGTTGGAGAGGGACCTGTAAGTATAGGTCAGGGAGTCATGATGCCACTAATTAACATCCTGGGGCAGTTTTCAAAGCTAAGCACACTGTCATTTCAGCCTCACGGTAACCCTCAAGGGGCTCTCATTAAACATTTTACAGATGGAAAACCTGAGAGGGGCAGCTTCCGCCATTTGTGGAGCCCTGTTTCTGGCAACGTGCTGGCTCTACTCAAGCACCAGCCATTTAATCCTCACTGTACCTGTACCTGTTGCAGATGAGGAAGCAGAGGGAGACACTGAATAAGCGCTAGTGTCAAGGCTTGACCTACATCTATAAGGAAGCTCCTAATCCCGGTGAGACCCTGGGCTGGTAGACTGTGCCTCTTCCCTCTTTCTGAAACCATCTCCAGAACTTCAGGCTTTGTGTGACCTGGAGGGGACCTGACTGGACAGGGTTCAGGTATAGCTGGCTCATCACTTTGAACCACAGGGAGGCGGGACTGGCTGGAGATGGCCCGCTCTGTGCACTGTGACTTCTGCCACTTCTCAGCTTTGGATCTGTGCAGTCAGTGGGCTAGCAAGCCTAGACTTCCCTTGCCTCCTCTAAGGTTTCCCTCACGTGGAGAGCTTCCAAAGTGGCTAATCATTCCTTTCAGTATTTGACAGACTAACTGACAACAGACTGTAGAATCCAGACTGACAAGCTTCCTTCTTCTCTGTAGTGAGGCAGAGGAGGGTTTGGGCATCACCCTGCTTGTCAAGGACCTGTGTTCAGATCTGCCCCATTTCTCCTGCAACTGCTGCTGGGATGAGAAACACAGCAACCTCACCTCCCATCACATCACCATTTACTGTGTGGCTCAGCCCTGGACAGGTTTCCAATGTTCCATGGAAATGGAGACTGAAGGCCAAGGTGAGTAAGATGCCAAATCCAAGCCACTCAGAAAGGAACCCAGTGAACAAATAAAAAGACCTAGTCCAGAAATCCAGCAAATTGGGAAGACAGGATAGAAATTTCTTCCTCTTCCTCTTCCTCTTCCCCTTCCCCTTCCCCTTCCCCTTCTTCTTCTTCTTCTTCTTCTTCTTCTTCTTCTTCTTCTTCTTCTGTTTTTTTGAGACAGGATTTCTCTGTGTATCCTTGGCTATCCTGGGCTCACTTTGTAAACCAGGCTGGACTCACAGAGATCCACCTGCCTCTGCCTCCCAGAGGAGGCAGGCATGTGCCACTGTGCCTGGCTTAGAAATGTTACCTTAATCCAGCACTCAAGAGACCTTTCATCCTTAAACAAGGGGGAAAGACCTGGGTTTTAGACAAGGGATGGACTGAGGCTTGTCTGTGCCTTTATTGTGGTCTGGAATAGGACAATGAGAAATGTGGTTTGTCCACGTGTGGTCACGAGATAGTGATGTGACAATGAATCTTGAGACCATCTAAGGTACTCTTTCTTATCTTGGTGCCTTTAGCCTTGAAGGGGGAGGAGAGAGAGTAGGGTGAGTCCGTCTTGCCTGAGGAGTCCCTGACAAACATTCATTAAATGACTAACATGTCTATGTGCAGAGTTGAGCAGAATGTGACCCAAAGGTTTAAGGCAGTAAAGGAGACAAGCACAAACGGTGGAAGTGCCCAGCATTTTCACCTTAGTTATTTACTTGAGACAAGGCACTGCTATGAAACCTGATTTGTGCTCAGCCACTCAGCAATCACCCTGCCTCAGGCTTCCTGGCTCTAAGAGTACAGGCGTGCAGTGCCAGGCTCTGTCTCATCTTGTTCGCTTACCCATTAGACTCTCCTGTGGGCCAGAGGGTCACCGCTTACAGGAAAGTGACTTTCAAGTAAACCCTTGCAAAGCACCCTGCCTGGCTTTTATCACTTTAAGCCAAACAGAAGAGGTGTCAGTTGAACTAAGCACAAGGCTCGCTCAGCTCGTCACCTCCAAAGCTTCTGATTTCCAAAGTCAACTAAGAGCAAACGGAGCCGGAAGTAGATGGCTCTGCCCTCAGAGCACTCACCGTTTATGCAGAGGAACTGAGTTAGGCTCTCATAACCCACACGACACTCAGTTACAGGTTTTGGGACAATGGAGTGAACTGGTGCCCACGCTACAGCCCCAATGTGGGTCACCTGATCTCTCCACCAACTCACTGTTCTCATCTGCGCAGGGTCCATGACCAGCCATTGGCTTGGTTGTCAAAGGGACCTAAGCTCTGCAGGCTCTTCTCGGTCTCAGTTCACGTTCTCTCTCCACTTCCTGGTTGTAGTTCTATAGCCTCAGCTCTGGGTCCAGCGCCCTCCCTGGCCCCAATGCTGGTCCCAGTAAACTGATACCCCTTCCCAAATGTTTCCATACTTGGCTCAGAAGACCAGAAATGTGGTCTATTGATTCAGTCAAGTTCATTTAGCCTCAAAGGGCTATTGGATTTGGGTGGTCACTCTGGCCGTAGGGCTCAGGGCCTTTTGCCAGAAATAAATAGAATGTCCAGATTCTTGGGATACTCTGTCTTATTTTTCTCCTGAGGTACAGGACCAGACACTGCCCTTTAGAAGGGTGATGTATTTTTTCAGGGATCTTAGGCGATGGTGGTAATAGTGAGGAGACAGAGCTGGGGAAGAGTCAGACTTCTAGCTTGTAAGAAGTCCTGCCAGATCAGTTAGCATGTGTGTTCACACTTTGAACACCTCTTGCTGAGCCTTTGAGGCAAAGGTCCTCAGTCTGCTGCAATGGCAGATTTCTCAGTGGTCAGCTCATCTGTCTGCAGGGAGATATACGAGGCAAGAAGCCGCAGCATTAGGCTCCGCCTGAGGGTGGGGATAGAGCCTGTGGACAGGAGCAACCAAGAAAGGTGGAGATAGCTGTAGTCCAGGCCTTGGGATTGGGGCCCACTGCTGCACATTGGGGATCCACTGCAGAGGAGGAGTTCAGGAAAATTTCTAGTGGGGCAGGAAGGTTCCAGGCACTTCCAAGGTTTGTTGTTGTTGTTTGTTTGTTTTTTGTGGGTTTTTTTTTGGGGGGGGAGGGCAAGGCAAGAGGGTTTAGAGTCCTGACTTCCATCTTTGTGGTGACAGAAGCTAGACAAAATGACCTGGTGAGAAAGGGCTGGCTCTGCCTAGGGTATCCCCCGCCTACCTCCCATCCAGGGAACTCTGTGTTTCTGTTGAATTAGACTTGGGGGCCAGAGCATTGCCACAGTTACCAGCAATACACAGCACTTTGAATTTTTTCTCCTTTTGTTTTGAGACAAGATCTCACTATGTAGCTCTGACTGGCCTGACATTTGCTAGGTAGACTAGGCTGGGCTTGAACTCACCAAGGTCCACTTGCCTCTGCCTTTCAAGCGCTGGCATGAAACACATGTTCCACCAGGCAACACGTTGGATTCTCAGGGTAGGAATCCTCCAAACCCATTCTGGAGGTAAAGGAATAAAGTCTCTAATGAGGTAACGGCCAGAACATGTTGAAGTCAGGTGGTGAGGTGGGGTGGGGTTTTGAGTGTAGGTCCAGTTAGCATTCTTTCCATGTGCATCTTCCAACCCACGTCTCTACCAAAACATGTCTCTTAGCCTCTCCCAGCCTTCTCCCCTTGGACAAAGAAGCTGTGTTCCCAGGGGCTGTGGCTGTGCCTTGAGACATGAAGGGCTGTTGGATAAGAAAGCAGGCTCAGGAGCGAGGTTGCTGGGTGCTTCCACCTATTAAACATTTGTTTGTTGTTGTCTGCCTCTCCCACTAGATTGTCTCTCTCTTGAGAGGAACTGTGTCTGTTTTGTTTATGCTTTATCCCCGAGACCTAGTATCAGTGTCCCTGATTACCTGTATGGGCAGTGAAGAGCAAGCCTGCTGTTCTCTAGTTCTATAACTTTGGGCAAGTCACTGTCTCTGGGTTAACATTTACCAAGCCCTTACTGTATTTTTTAGCAACATTTGCTCTATGAGCCTTGCTTGTGCTAACTCAAACTCCACAACAACTTTATGAGATGGTTACTGTTTTTATTTCCATCAGTGAGGAAGATCAGGTCGCAAGAGCAGAGATGACATGCCTAAAGTAGCTGGAAGCAGAGGGTTAACACACGCGGGGATAAGTCACTGACCTAGAAGCAAATTAATTGCTGGTCTACTCTGGCCTCTCCTTCTGCTGTCCAGTGACCATCTCTGTCCTCTGTCCTGTCCTGCTCATAACTTCTTGCCAATAAAACAGGGTTAATCACAGCTCTTCCTTCCTTCTGCCTCCATTGCTCACCCCCCTCATCCACAGACTGGCAACCTCTTGGAGGAGAAGGTGTTCCAGGCAAAGCTGGGTATCTAGCTCTTGATGATGTGAAGGGCTCTCAGACATGAGGTTTTGTCACTGGACGGGAAGCCAAGCTCCTCTTCTCCTTCCCGTGCTTTTCTGGGTGATGGATTTTATTTCTGCAAAACAAGGAAGCTTAGGGGTGGAATAAACAGAGAAACAGCAGGAGGGATTTCCTCTTCTGGAAAGTGGTGGTCTCCTTCTAAGCTAGCTAAGAATGGTGATGGGGAGGGGGAGAATGCCAGGAAGAATTAAAATGATCTTTTTCAAACATCAAAGAACAACAAGGTGTTGTTCTTGGGCGGCACAGGTAGGCAGATCTCTGTTAGTCTAAAGCCTGCCTGGTCTACATAGTAAGTTCCAGGACTTACTATGGGCTGTGTAAGACTGTCCCAACAAAACAAAACAAGCTCCATTGTGGTGGGAGAGATGGCCCAGAGGTTAAGAGCACTTGCTGTTCTTGCAGAGGACCCAGATTTGGTTCCCATCACTCACACTGTGGCTCACAACCACCTGTTACTCCAGTTCTAGGGGAGCCAACACCCTCTTCTAAGCTTCTCGGGAGAAGGCGTGTGTTATACAGACATGCAGGCACTCACACATACACATAATAAAAATAAATACATTTAAACAAGTTTCCAAGAAAGAAAGAATGAAAGAAACCTCGTCAGAGTCTTGAGTCCGGGCTGGAGAGATGGCTCAGCAGTTGATGGCACACTGCTTTTGCAGAGGACCAGAGTCTGGCTGCCAGCATCCACATTAGCTGGCTCGCAGCCACTTGTAACCCCAGCTCTATGGGGACCCAGCCTGTGGGCACCTGCACAAGTGTGTGCAACACTCACACACACAAGGAAAAAGAAAGTAAAATCTTTAAAAGTAAAATAAAATCTTTAAAACAACAAACAAACAAAATCTTCCTAAAAAAAACTTAAGTGATGGCAGAATCTGTGAGGTTGAGTAGGGCGCCCTGAGGGCTCTAGCCAAGCCCAAGCTGGAATTTGGGTTTGATGATTTGGGGGGTGAGAAAGACACAAGCTGAAACCCAGGGCTCACAGAGGAGGGGTCACAAGAAGAGACGGGATGCGATTCGGATTAAGGGGTATTCCAGTTAAGTCCCCAGGACTGCCTGAAGCTGTTGCCCAAGCACTGAACAGAACAGTAGACCAGAACCCAGCTTCCCCAGGGGCTCAGGGACATGCTAGCTCTCTCATGGATCTGTGGCCCAATTCATCCATATCACTTGGAGCAGAGAGACAAAAACGTTCAAGCCTCCTTACATCTGGAGGCTCCCTGGAAAGAACACCCTTCCTTTTTAGGTCTCAAAAATACCTTGTGACAATTTCCTCCAGTGAAATAAGCGATTCATAGCCAAAGGCCACCAAACATATCCCGTGGCCTCAGACTTCTCATCTTAAACAGGGGCCTTAGCCAGATGCTCCTGGGTCAACCCTGCACAGTGGCTCTCTGGAGGTACAAGCTAAGAGAGTCCGCATGTGTTCCCACTTTGTGTTCTTGGTCTCTTCACTGTAAAGAGGTCAGGAGAGGCAAGATGCAAGCAGGAGGCTGTTAGCAGTCCCCAGCTTTGGGGAAGGGCAGAGGGGGGATGGGTGGGGATGGGTGTCTGAGACGCAGACCGCAGACCGAGGATCTTTGAAGTGTGCGTTGGTAGGTGGGTGGTGGGCCTGTAATAGTGGCTACTGAGGGAAGAGGGCTGGGACCCTGGGGGCAGCCTCAGCGTTGACCTACTTGGGTCCTCATAATTGCTCCCTTCATCTCTTGAGAGGCTACAAATAGAGACACCCAGGTGTTGGGCTTTTACAGCTGAACCGCCAGCAGCAGTGGTGAGTGTGGCTGCTTGGGAACTGCCTTGGGTTGGGTGTTGGGGCAGCTCAGAACCCCCTCAACAGCTGGCCTGCTCCTGGTACAGGGTCTGGGTATGGGAGCAGAAAGGTGAACAGACGAGGGGTTGGGAAATCAGATCTGGTGAATTTTGAGGTTCCCTCTTACACTAAGGGGCTGAAGGAAGTTTGGTCTGGGGAATGTGCCCGGCCAAGGTCTGGCACCCATGTGGGGACAGTGGTTCTGTGCAGCCCTTAGTGAGCTCCTTGCTTCTTCTCCTTGTCTCTTTGCTTCATTCCTGGGGACAAGTTGGGACAGGCCAGGGCTGCATGAGGAGAGAGAATTCCTATAAGTCTTCAAGCCCTGAGCTTCTGAAATAGCAACCCAAGTGGCGCCAGGCAGGCTGAGAGGAACTGCAAGGGCTCTGAGGTGCGGAGCTCCTGGGATCACTGCACTTTCCTCTCCAAGGAGCAAGACACTTTCCTCTCCTGGGAATGTGGAAGCTTGCTCCAGCCTGGGCTGTCACAGAGAACTGGACCCCGGCAGTGCTCGCCCTTCAGCTCTCATTTCTGTACGTCCTCTCCTCAGTCTCGATGGCCATTTGCTCTCATTCGAGGGAACTCACCAGAAAGAGTCCCGGCTCTGGCTGCCCTGTGTTCAGGACTGCAGTCCCCTGAGGGAGTCAGCAATGAGTCATTGGACTCACATGGAAACAACTCCATTGCCTTCCCGCCGGTCCAGGGTTTGCCCAGGCTGCATGGGCGATGGCAGGGACAATGGAAATAGGGCGAGGGCGGGGATTCTAGCGCTTCCCTCCCATCCTTTCTGTCTTAAGGATCTCTCTGGGGGAGGAGGCTGGTTATAGGATGGGGCAGGTGGTAGGTGGGTAGATCCATGAACTGGTGGACTCTGCAGAGACCACCTGGTCCATGGTTCTGACTAGGCCTGTGGAGCTGGATTAACCCACTTTACAGATAAGACAACTGAGACCCAGAGAGGAACAGTTCACCCAGGGCTGCAGGGCGAGCAACAGATGAGGGTCCCAAAGGCGGCTTCTTTGAGTTCAGGGCAGGAGACATAGTGAGGTGGTAGGGGTCCCCCAGGCCTCACCATCGCTGCTGGCAGGAGCTTCACTAAGATCTGGGCAGGGAAATGAAACTTACGTCCAGAAAAGTTACAACAGGCACAATGGAGAGGTGAATCAGTGTGTGTGTGTGTGTGTGTGAGTGCGCGTGTGTCTGCTCAGAGGAAAGGGCGCTTCGGCATGGTGGAGCCTGTCTGATCTGGAATTAGCTCCTGGGACACACTGAGGAAGAGCGATAGCCTGGCTGTCCTGTGAGTCACACCTTTGTTTCTGACAGTGAGGATGGCCCGGCCCCTGGAGCAGGCAGTGGCTGCCATCGTGTGTACCTTCCAGGAGTATGCAGGGCGCTGTGGGGACAAGTACAAGATCTGCCAGTCGGAGCTCAAGGAGCTGCTGCAGAAGGAGCTGCCCACCTGGGCCCCGGTGCGCACCCTCGCGCCTCTGCCCACTCGTGGGAAGGACCGCCTGGACTCTGCAAAGAGCAGCCTAGGGCCAAACACCAACATCGGGCAAGAGGGAGGAGCTGGACGGTGGGGACGGGGACATGAGGAAGTGAGCAGAGGCAGCTGCATGAGCCTTAATCTAATAGAATGTACACAGGGTAGCGGTCACCCTACTGGCCTGTGAATGACGCCTAACTCATGGCGGCTCTCCAAAGCAAGGATTAAGTGCTCAGCAAATGAGCCGAAAAGCTGGGCGGGGAGGGGGGTGAGGTTAGCGTGAGGGTGTGTGGGTGGGAATGGGGACCGCCCACCCAGGGGAGGCGCGAGTGGTATGGGAGCAGCTCAGGCTGCTCATCCTGCTTTCCTGACCCCCTTTTATCCCCTCGGCAGAGTGAGTTCCGAGAGTGCGACTACAACAAGTTCATGAGTCTTCTGGACACCAACAAGGACTGCGAGGTGGACTTCGAGGAGTATGTGCGCTCGCTCGCCAGCCTCTGTCTCTACTGCCACGAGTACTTCAAGGAGTGCCCCCCGGAGCCCCCCTGTCCACAGTAGCCTCTGACCCAGAGGACAGCTGCCCCGGAAGGGCAGGGTCTGCTCCGGCACTCCGTCTTTGCTCCTCCTCTCTCTGTGGCACCCCTTCCACTCTGGATTGCCAGGTCCCCCTGATGCTAATCCCAGCTACTCACGGGCTTTAGAGGCTTTCCTGGGGATGTCTAGCTGATGAGGGGTGGGACAGTAGCCAGCCTTTGCTGCTTCTCTTCTTGGAAGGGAAGACCATCTCTGCTCTGACCTTGGACGCGCAGTCGTGTGCACACGGTTGAGGCTGCTGTGGCAGCGGCCTAGTCACCTCCCAATAAAGAAGTGTCAGCTTGGCTTGGTGTGGTTCTCTTGGGCCTTGCGATCTTCGCTCCTCTACACTCTGTACCATTGGAGGAAGGAGGCTGAAGGCAGGGGCCCCAAAGGCAGTGTCAAGCCGGGTAGAAAGCACCAGTCTCAGCACCCAATGGGAGGGGCCAACACAAGGTCCCATCAGGGAAGCCTGGAGGGCTTCGGAGCCTCGGAGACCATCTCTGTGTCCCCTGACTTGAGCCGGAAGCCCCGTCTTGAGCTTTCTAAGAGGATGATGGTCTCCTTGGGAAGAACTTGGGACTGGATGCTCCAAGGAGGGTGTGGCTGTGGCCCCCAGAGAGCATTGGCGATAAGATCAGGGCTTCTGAAGCATTCGCTCCCAGCCAGGGAGGGAGGCTGTGTATTGGAGGAGAGAGGGGGTACTTTGAGTCAATTCCCACCTTTGAAAAGCACAGCCCCCTAAGGGTGCAACCCTCCATTTCTGACCCTCACTCAATCCCTTAGAGATTAATTCTGACTCCAAATTTTATCTATTTTTTTTCTCTAACTCTCTTCTCCAAGCTGAGTGTCTAACCTCGAATGCCCTGTCGCCCTGATACCCTCACTGGAACTTCCATCCGTTTATGAACCTCCAGGCCTCACTACCACTAATTCATCCTCCTAGATATACTTCCCACTTAATACCCGGGATGGTCCCAAGGCCACTTCTGACTTGCCAGCCTCCACCCTGGGTCTTACTGATTGTGACAAAAAGCTGTTTGGGCTAGAGAGAAGGGCTGCCATTGTCCCACCGGCTGGGGTTACCCCCTTCCTGGGCCACACCCTCCCAGGGCAGTCTCCCATCTCTTGCCCATCAACCCTCCATTTCCTTTCCTGTGGCCCACACCCCATGCCCAGGTTACCCCTTCTCAAGGCTGTGCTGTGGCTACCGGGTGGTGTCCACGCCCTTCAGTTCTCTGCTGTGCCCACGGAAGCTCACTTTGCTGCATCGTGCTGCTGGGGAGCGGGAGGCCTGGTTCCTAGGCTGGGCTGGTGAGGGGGCTGTGACATTTACCGAATTGACCAACAGCAGGAGCACAGTCTCCATGCTCCCCCGACCCTGGCATGGGCAGGGCCTGGCAGGGTATCAGTAGGTCAGACGACTGGAGCTCTCCCCGAACCTCTGCGCAGCACTTCCTCTTGGCCTGATAGCACTGTGATTGTGTTAGACGCTGAGGCTAGGGCAGGAGAAAGGACGGCGGCTGGGGGACAGATGCCTTCAACAGATTCAGGTGAGACCCTGTGAGTGCTGCACAAGAATGAAAACAGAAACAGTGTATAAAAGGCTGCATTTGTGCTCTCGGCGTCTCCGAGATGCCGAGGCTTGTACGCGTTGTTGGTGCCTGGGAGCCACCTTCATGGATAGATACCCTGACTTGTGTTTGCCGGGTCAGACAACCCGGCGTGCGCACACGTGGGTGCAGGAAGCGAAGTGGACGCACCTGTAGGCATTTTTATTTTTCAATATTTAAATCACAGGTATTCGTGTGTACACATGTGCGTGTGTGGTGAGTGTGTGCGGTGAGGAGTCGAAGGACAACTTGTGGGAGCCAAGCTGCTCCTTCTGTGTAGACTCTGGGGATCGAACTCAGGCCACTGAGCTTGGTGGCAAGCACTCTGCCCGGTGAGCCAACTCTCCAGCACGCACCTGAAGGCTTCTGTGTTCACGGTAGTTCACAGCCCTGTGAGCATACAGCATCCCAGGCCAAGAGAGCCTGGCTTCCCCACCCTCCCCTTCCCCCGCCTCCGCCACCTCCTCTAACTCCTTCTAAGCTGGTCACTAGCTGTGCCAATGCTGGGCCAGAGCCTGATGCTTATGGTTGACTTGTGGGAGCGAATAAGCTGAGTGAGGGATGGAAAGCTGCTGTTGCTGAGGCCTGGCCTGAGGAGGCACGGAAGGCTGCTGGCACAACTCTCCAGAGCCCAGGTGGCAGGCTCTGCAGGTTTCAGAGCTGAAAGCATACATGACCCTCCTGCTGTCAGCTGGTCCCTCTCCTCTGATCTCCCTGGGAGTGAGGACAGTCTCCTGATGTGCTCCTAGAGGGTAGGTTGGAATGGACCACTTGTAAAGGGGGAGCAGAATGAGTCTATGACTTGGATGATGCTCAGAGACACGTAGCCAGGTCTCTACACACTGTTGGCACGGGTTGGATGAGGCTACCTTTGTGTCTCTGTCCCTAGATCTCAACTATCATCATGGCCTGCTCCTTGGAGGAGGCCCTGGTGGTGGTGGTGTCTAAGTTCAAGCTCACCGAGTCAGAGCTCAGGGAGTAGTGACCAGGAGCTGCCTAGCTTCTGGGCTGAGTGGCTCCTGCCTGTGTTTTGCATGTGGGGTGCATTCCCGGGTGGAGGCAGGGCCTCTGGTAGGCACTAGCCCTAACACAGTGCCTAGCTGCAGCTGGCATATATCCCTAGGGGAAGGAGACATGGCCAGAGGGCTTGCTCTAGGCACTTGGACTAGAAGCACAGTGAGCCATCTACCTCTGCCCTCAGCTGAGATAAGGCATAGAACAAACATAACTGAAGAGAGACAGGAAAACCAAAACAACCTCATTAGATAGTCAGTGTCTGAAACTGAAGTCTAGATCAGGACTATCTGTCCAGCGCTTGTCAATGGAAATCGATTTTCCATTTGTGAAGACAGGATTGTGTAGGCACAAAAATATCTGCACACCCTCCCCTCAATTACACCTTACTTTAGCTAACAAACCCCTCTCATGACTGTTATCTGGTGAGATAATTAAAACAGGCACAGAGAAGACATGGTCCTGTCCTTTCCCAGCTGTCCCCTGCTCGTCCCATTCCTTAGCCCCGGAGGTCAGAGAGGAGTGTCTGGAGGCTCCTTAGCTCCTGGCTGGAGGCAGACACCCACCTGGGGCTAGCTTCTTACTGTGACTCTTCCACCTCCAGAAAAGGACAGATGAAGCTGCATTCCAGAAGCTGATGAGCAACCTGGACAGCAACAGGGACAACAGAGCAGACCTCCAGGGGTACTGCGCCTTCCTGCCCTGCATCGCCACGATGTGCAATGAATTCTCTGAAGGCTGCCCAGATAAATATCCCCGGAAGAAGACTCCACAGATGAAGTGTTGGGGTTTGGTCTGCCAGTATGCATGTGGGGTCTTCCCTGTTGGCTGTGGGCTTCTTCATACATGTGCAGAATGCTGAGCAAGCTCAACAAGGAGTTTTGAAACGATGAGCTGTTGTCAGAGAGGCTGGAGATTGTGGGTTGGGGGCTGGCAGAGGGTGTGTCTCAGGGTAGTGGTGGGGAACGCTGTGAGTTGAGCTGTAGGCACCAAACTAGAAAAGGTTAAAGAGGGTGGGTGACTGATTTTGAGAGCGCGTGCACACACTTGAGTATATGCAACAAAGTGAACTCTGGGATCACTGAAGGCAGAAACCACCAGAGGCTTGGCCTGAAAGGCTCCAGATGTGGGATGTTGGCCAGCCCACTGCCCTCCCTCCTCTCTCTACTGCCTCTGGGCTCAAACTGAAGTTGGGATGGAACGAAGGTCACATCTGCTGCTGGTTGGGGTCTGGAGGGAAGACAACAGGCCTGAGTCATGAGGAAGGAGCCCTGAAGCCAGCGAGGGATGGGGAGGAGGACTGGCCCTCAGCCCTGACATTTATATTATAGTCAGATTCTGCATTGTTACACGTTCCAGCTCATTGGCTTCAAACAGTGGACTGATCTTTTCCTGTCCCTGGTTGAGTGAAGAAGAGCAACACAGAGGGAGGTCATCTGTGGTAGCGAAAGAAAGAGCTGTCCATTTCCCCCACCTTGAAAGAGGTCTCATTTCTGTAGCCAAAGCTAGCAGCCTTGAACTTCTGATCCTTCCTGCCAGACTCCTCAGTGTTACCATGGCTGATGGAAATACCATTCTCTTCACATACCATCTTTGTCTCCAAAAGGCCAAGGGATGAAATCTACAGATAGTGGCTGAGTGGGAGTGAAGGAGATGACAGGAGGTGAGCAAAGTTTTAGAGATGTGATCTGATAAATAAGATTGAGAGCCCATCTCCTCACTCTCTCACTCACAGAACATGGGGCATGGCGGTGCTCCCCCTTAGGGTAGGCTTAGGGCCAGTGTGCAGAGTGCAGAGGACGGGCCTGGGATTAGAGGTCAAGCCTGGATGATCCGGGGATGCTAAGGTGCACGGAAGCTGTCCCAACCCTGGCAGGGGGGCTCTCTTGGACGTTAGCCTCCCTACTTGTCACACTGTGCCTCTCTCTCCAGCCTCAGGGGAGTTTGCAGAGACTGAGGTCCAGGCTAAGCCTGCTTGTCTTTTTTGCACTCCCAGTCAATCCTCCCATCGTCCATGGGAGTGTGCTCCCCCGAGCCTCCTCCTGCATCACTCTCTGCGTTTGGAAACTCCTGTTGCTTAGAGACAAGTCCCAGCTGAATCACTGGTGTCTTCGCTGTGGTGGGATGACAAAGGGACCCGTGCAGAGGAACTGGGCAGGCTGCAGTGGAACTTCAGACAACATGGGTACTCTGCCCTATACCGTTCTTAGACTCAGTGGGAGTGTGCCCAGAGCACAGGCAACTGACCTTGAGCCTAGCCTCCTCCTGGCCACAGTCTCAATCTCTTCTGAGTCTCAAACCTTTCTTTGAACCCCTTCCCCAACCCTGGATTCTTATTCCTTCAAACCAGGACTCTCCAACAGTTATTTTCCATCTATTACTTCATGGTAGCTAGTGACTTTAGTCATATCCTTGGCAGGAAATATCTTCCTTCATGGATCTCATGCCACGAGGCTCCTTTCTGTGTTTGGAGTGTATTTTGAGGATGGAGGGTTTCAGAGTGGAGAGTAGCCTAGGATCTGGAAGAATACCTTGTGTTTGGTCCACACCTTCTATGTTTTTTTTTTTCCTGCCTATTACTTCAGCAGATGGGGAGGCTTAGTAGGAAGAACGGTTTCTGCTCCTGAAAATGCCTGTCATGGGTAACTCCGTGTCACACCTCCAGCCCTGTTTGTAAACAGCAAGTCACAATTTCCATAGAGGGTTCTTTCACCCTTGTCTGGAAGTCCTCATATCCCTGACCCCTTCTCATTGGCTCCAACCATCCTGGGTCTCCTGGGCACTGGGGACAAGAGAATAAAAGCAGTGAGCACTGGCAGGGAGGCTGTGGCTGCAGCCTAGATTCTCCAGGCTCACTTCTTCCTTGGTGACTTCTTCCTCCGGATGACCTCCTGCATTTCTGCTGGGCCAGCCTAGGTGAGGAAGAGTGTGACAAGACATGAAACCTCCACAAGGAAGGCCCGTGGGAGGGTGCTCAGGGAGGAGAGGGCAAAGTACTTGGAATTATGACTGTAAGGGTTTCAACAGAGAATCCAACCCTAACAGCAGAAAAGCTGAGTCAGGAGGATCATAAATTTGAAGGCAGCTGTCTTTGGATACATTGTGAGACACTGTTTTGGGAGAGAGAGAGAGAAGGGAGGGAGGACAAAGGGAGGGAGAGGGAGAGAGAGAGAGAGAGAAGACCCAGCCAGATGCTCAGAGTCCCTTCCTTCTCTGAGCTGTGGTCCTGGCTGAACCTCTGTGAGGAGAAGAGGCTGACAGTCTGGGTGGCAGGAGATGAATGATGGGTCCAGTCCCTTCAAGAAATTCTTGAGTTGGAGGTAGAAGTCATCAGTTTCTCACCACCTTCCACCCCGCCCAGGGTTCTGCACAGGATCTGCAGAGGCCTCCGGTTCTGTGGACATTGCTTCCTTTCTCTCTAAGGGGAAGTGTTTTTTTAAGTGTGAGTCCCACAGGCTTCAGTTGTCTGCTCTTTTGCTGGAGTGGCTGTACTGACAGAACTCAAATCTAACATCTAGAACCAGGTCTCAGAAGATCCTGGCCATGCCAAAAAGCCCCTCCCCTCCCTGCCCCTGCCAGGCTGTGGGTGCAGCTCTCTGGGCACCAGACTGGAGGTCGCTGAGCAAGTCCAGTCACCTTTCTCCTGCTTCCTGCTGAGACCTTATCTGCCAGTTTCAGCCACAGTCCCCTCTGTCACTGGACTTTTTTTTTTTCCCCTCTCCCCTTTACAGTGAGACTCTCCATATCAGATGACTCAGGCTAGAGAAAGGAGGGTGACTAGGTGGAAACTGTGTCTGGAAGACCACACTCGTGCTGGAACACACACACACACACACACACACACACACACACACACACACACACA